CTTACCTTCTTCCTCAAATCCCAAATTAAGGTCAAAGCAATGCCCTTTTCTTTCACTTAAACAACCATCCTCTTTTGAATTACCATTCAAATTCTCACTCTCATTCTCATTTTCAGTCGCATCCAAATTCAAATCAATAATTTCACCTCTACTTTTTTCGACTTTAACCTCAACACTAGAATTAGCATTAGCACCAACACCACAACCACCACCACCGTCATCATCATCAACATTAACCCTTTTATTCAAATCCAACCCTTCATTTACCCCACAATTCAAATCCAACCCTTCATTCAAATTAAAATTCACATTCAAATCCAACCCCCCACACCCAACAGCAGCATTCAAATCGAACTCATTCTTATTACTACCACTACCACTACTACTACAACAATTACCTGACTCAGCCGAATCCCCCAATCGCCGCCGCTTGTTACCCTGCCCCTCCACAGCCTCATCACCATCAACTTCATCACGGACAAGCAGTGAAGCCATATCGGACATTTCCAACTCCTCGGAATCCCCGTCCTCGTACTCGATCCTGTAATAGCCTCTACTTGAATCAAACGATCTCACCGTTCCACCAAAAATCCCGTACCCTTGGAACTCTTTCTTCACTCTCCTCCCCACATAATCCATTCCTAGGGTTTTCAATCCAAATTCTACACCAATCCTCAAAAATTCCACTTCTCCTCCATGGCAACCGAATTGAAACTCCAATTTCAATAAACTCCTACTGTTCAGTTCCAGAGAAAAGGGATCAATTTGAGGATTTCGGCTGATGTTCAGTCAATTTGAATATTTAATTATTTAAATAATATTAAAAAAACACACAGTGGAGGTGTGGGTGTTTGTTTGGGGTTTGGTGTTTTGAGAGAGAGAGAAGAGAGAGAGAGGCGTTGGGGGTTAAGAGCAAAGAGAGAATTTGGTGACTTTCTCTCTCTTCAACGCGAAATATAGTGAGAGAAAGTAACAGTGGAGTGACTTTTTATCGTGGGGAGAGAGAGAGGGGAGTGAGAAAAGGATGGTACAACTGGCGATGCAGGAGGTATAAGTAAATCGGCAGTTAATGCATTGCTTGGGGAGATATGATGGTACAAATCACTCTGCAAGGAGTACAATATTAGTAGCAAAGGAGAGGGATTGCGTCGCCAGGAAGTACAATTAGTAATGCAGAATGTACAATACACTGCGTGCAAAACGATGTTGAGGGGAAAGGGAGTAGATTTTTATCAATATTTAAGTTGGGGATGGTTAAGAGAAAGTGAGTGTAAAAAAGGAGTCTGGTTTCAAGCCTCTCACATATACTATTAAAAAAAATTTATTAAAAATTTTAAAAAACATTGGGAATAGTTCATTATCCAAATGCACAATTTGAATTTTATGTAATTTAGATTACATAGGCATTTTTTGGATTGCAAGTATTTGGAGATTTTTTTGGTATAAAAATATAATATATAGATATAATATATGTGAGATAAAAATCTGATTGAGAAATGCGTCAAAATAAATTTATGTGAAGATGTGCATTTGAAACAAGGCCTTAAATTCTAGACGACCATTTTGTTTGCCACATATACTTCAAAAATGGCAAGGCTTCAAAAACTCATAGGATTTAAGTAAATAATTAATGAAAATGTGTGGACAAAATCAAGAAATATACCCCCTGTAAATATGGCAAAAGTATAAATAAACTACTGGAAATTTGATCAAAACTTTGTTCCTTTTCTAAAGGCTTTTATTAATATATTGCCTGTAAATATATGTGAACAACTAAATTTTGGATTCATAACAATTCTTACTATAAAATATGTGTGATAATCATCGTGTTCATACTTGATCATGGAATCTAACCAATGATAGTTACGCCATTAGATCTGAAATAAATGCAGACTTACTTTTGTAATGTGAATAGAGAGAGAGAGAGAGAGAGAGAGAGTTTTCCATTTTTTTGTCTTCTAAATTTTGTAAGTGGGATAAATTTTGTGTAGACTAGCTTTTGTACACTCTGTAATGTGAATAGAGAGATGGGAGAGAGAGAATTTTTTTTTCTTTTCTCTTTTTTTTTCTGATCTTCCAAATTTTGTAGGTGGGCAAGGTTTTGACTTTTGCGTGGGTGATGGTTAATTTATGTGGTAAAACAAATGATAATTTGTTTAAATATATATATTTTTTAAATAATATTTCGTTTGTATCATAAATATATTTTTAAATTTTTTTTAAATATTATAATAATTATTTTAAATAACTCTGTCCAAAACAGACCAAATTTATATGAATAAAAGGTTTCGAACCAAAATCTCTCATTTACAGTATTTCAATTCATATGTTCCAATCCATCTCTTTGCTACAAATGATAACGTGTGACTCACAAATGGAATTAGGTGAATTGGTCGTACGACTTAAACAACGCGAAGTACAATTGATTGGTGAAAGCATAAAGCAGTGAATTAGATAACAATTGGAATGGATGAGGTGGCGGTGCAACTAATGAGGAACGATGTATAATTCAAAGTCAAGTTGGACAGCTGAGTTGGCAAAATGGCTTGAGTCGGAGCAGAAGGGTAAACGTTGGTGGACGGCTAAACCAACGTACAATGGGATAGGCATATGGTACAACAGGAAAAGCTTGTTGACCATGACGTAAGCGGTAGGCAAAAGTTGGAAATATCTTCGGCAATGGACGAATCCTTTTGCTCTTTTGTAGGATTGTAACGGATGGATTTGTTTGCAAAGTCAACATTGGGAACTACAAACTCACGAAAGAAGGAAAACAATTGCAAACGTTTCTTTTCTTTGTCTCCGAAAGAGGTCAAATTGCTGATTTGGCAAGGAAAAATAAAACTAATTCAATTTGCACCATCGAAATACTAGTTTTCTCGCTTGAACCCCAAACTTTTACTTTGGAAGATGCGAATGGCATGGCATTCCTTTAATTGTTAATGGTACTTGTTCTATTCTCTCTTTGTTTATTTTTTTTTCATCACTGTTTTTAACTTGTGATTGAATAGTAATTATAAGCATAGATAGCTGCCTTGAGCAGCCAATTAATTTTTACCAAATATAGTATTCTTTTTACCATGATACTTTCTTCTTTAATTTTAGAAAAAAATGCAGTTTTAATACCCAAACTTTAATACACGAGCTATTTTAGTCTCCCAACTTTGAACGAAAATAAATCTGTAACTAATCTTACAACTTTTGAGCACATTTAGTACCTTTGACGGATTTTTTTCCAAATTGCTACTACAAAGAATCACCTGACAATCACATGTCTGGCAAGTATTTTGTAAAAATGTCAAAAAAAATCTAAATATCCTTCTGATACTAAATTCCAAGTTTAGCATGTGATTCAATCCTTTAAAAACAAAACAAATTTAACGTAAGAAAAAAACTCTTATAGGCAAATCACATACTGAAAAGGCAAATTTGCAAGGCTAAATTTCACCAATTTTCTTTTGATTTCACGGCTGAATTCATAAAGCGTCAATTGAAATATAGGTGTACAGGTTTTTTTTCATATGAGGATATGTGAAAAAGAAGAGGAGAGGAAAGAAGATGGGGAGTTTTCAATCTGTGATTTGCTTGTAAGAGTTATTTTCTTATATTAAATTTATTTTATTTTTAAACAACTAAATCATTTGCTATTATTAGTCTTTAAACTTGGGACTTAGTTTAAGAAGAATATTTTATGTTTTTTTCATATTTTTATAAAATAGTTGCGGGACATGTAACTATCACATGACTTTTTCTGGTAATAATTTGAAAAAATCCGTCAGATGTACTAAATGTGCCCAAAAGTTGTAAGACTGGGTATTAGATTTGTTTTCATTCAAAGTTTAGAAACTAAAACTACTCATGTATCAAAGTTTGGGTATTAAAACTGTATTTTCTCTTAATTTTAAATTTCTATCTAATGTGATTTTCAAAAGTGACCTTCAAAATCCTAAAAGTTTTTTTTTATTGGCAAAATCCTAAAAGTTGGAATCTTTTACCATGGCATTCTCCGTTACTATCAAGTAGTGTAATTAATTTTTGTGAATAATTGTTTCTGGGGCAAAAAATGTATAACCCATTGAGGTTTCTCATTAAAATTAGAGAATAGACAGAGCAACACTTGGAGTAAGAAAAACATGGAGTGTGTTTGGAAAAGAAATTATTTAAAATATTATTTAGAATAATTATTGTAGCACTTTTTATAGGGTTAATTTCACTTTGTCCCCCCAAATTTTGGCCGATAACCCACTTCAATCCCTCAACTTCAAAATAGGACACTTAGTCCCTAAACTTATAAATATCTCTCAATTAAGGAAAATTGTTAACAGAATCCTGAATGCCGTTGGTGGTCGAAAAGCATGGCGAACACCAGCCTTTGACCGAGGGCAACAATGAAAATCCCATCCGGCCTTTTCCAATATTCACAAACCCCTTTTTCTTCTTCTTCATAATCAACAATCTCTCCGTCCAATATGGCTTCTAACCCAGTTCTCTCCTCGGCCCACCAGAGATTTACGACCACCTCTTCCCACACTTCCCCCGCCTTCCTCCTCCTCTGCCAAATCCGAACCCTTCATGGACCTTATGGTCACCAACTTTAACACCCTCACTACCCTCCCCAACTGCCCCCTATGGCCTTCACCGAAAACAACTCGGTAACCTTTCTTTCCAGTGGCAACACTTGTTTGGATTTTTTCTTTCACGTGGAAAAGAAGATGCCTTCCAATGTTTGGCAACAGAGGAGAAGGAGGAAGGACAAGGGCTGCCCCTTTTTCCAGGAAGCCCAAGAGGAGTGGGAACAAGAAGGGCGCCCCTCCCAGGGAGGCCAGAATTCTGGCTAATCTACAACAAGTTGAGATGCAGAAACAAATGGCCAGGAATCAAAGAGAGGAGAAGAAGATTAAGCAGGCCAAAAAGGCCATTGAAAGGTATTGCCACGACCCAGATTACAGATTTTGCCGCTAGGGCATTGTTGCCACATGAGGTTATTGCGGCTTTAAATAATGGCAACGGTGGCAAAGTTGCTGACTAAGAATCAAGCCGACGACGGCGTCAAATATCTGTTGAGTTATTTAGTCACTTGGGGTCAATACGTTTCTGCGATTAGCTCAATGTTTGAGGTGGATACTGGGAAAACTCTCCAAGCCAACGGATTGTCTGAACAAAATTTTAATATTTATCCCTTTACGACTCTCTTTGTTCCTCTTCAGAACTCCCCATCCAGTTCCCAAACTGTGGAGCTGCCTCCGCCACCGTCGCAGCAGTCACCGCCAACTTCAATTGCCCCTCCTCCAACACAGAATTTTAGTCCTAGTAGTTTGATTGGTGGATCGGTTTACGGTGGTACAATCAAAGGGGATTATGCTGCAATTAAGAAAATGAACGGAGATGTGTCTAAGGAAATTAATCTACTGAACAAGATCAACCATTTGAATCTTTTCCGACTTTCCGGGGTTTGTTTCAGCGATGGGTATTGGTATCTTGTTTACGAGTATGATGCCAATGGAGCATTGAGCGATTGGCTCTATGAAAACCACGGCAAACAAAAGAAGAAGTGTCTGGATTGGAAGCAGAGATTACAGATTGGCTTGGATGTGGCCACGGGGCTTAATTATCTTCATAGCTACATTTCCCCTCCCCATGTGCACAAAAATCTAAAAAACAGCAATGTTCTTGTTGATGCTGATTTCAGGGCGAAGATCAGTAATTTTGGGCTAGCAAGATCAGCAGATGGGCAAGGAGGCCAGTTTGCCTTGACTAGGCACATTATTAGGACGAAAGGTTACATGGCTCCCGAGTATTTGGAGAATGGTCTGGTATCCACAATGCTTGATGTTTATTCATTTGGGGTTCTCCTACTAGACATTTTCACTGGCAAAGAAGTCACTATCTTGTATGAAGCTGTGAATGTGAACTTGGCAGAGATTCTGAGCCCTGTGCTTGACGAGAAAGACGGGATCGAGAACTTGAGCCAGATTATGGATTCTTCTCTCGAAGGAAACTATCCTTCCGAACTTGCAATTTTGCTCATCAGATTGATTGCTAGTTGCTTAAAGAAAGATCCATCTGCCGGCCCAACCATGCATGAGATTGTCCAGACTCTATCCACATCCGTCACTACCACAACATCTTGACATTTCAAACAAAGTGCCTAAAGCATATGCCTTCGGATAGATGAGTTGTTTTGGAGTTTTGTAGCTTCATCTTTTTGTCTATTTTTGGAGGATAATGGAGGATTGAACCCAGAGGCCGTTATGGAGGCTGCAATTTCTGGTGAGGAGTATAAGAAGCTAGTGGTGCTGGATTGAGATGGGCTGCTATGGAAAATATATTAGTATTAAATAGCAATAGTTACTTTTTTGACACGTGTACAAATTTTCAGTAACAACATTCCCCAATCTTCATTAACAGAACGTGTTTGCTACGCTCTTTGACCACCAACGGCAATCAGGATTCTGTCAATAATTTTCCTTAATTGGAAGATATTTATAAATTTAGGGACTTAAATGTCCCATTTTGAAGTTGAGGGACTGAAGTGGGTTATCAGCCAAAGTTTGAGGGGACAAAGTGGAATTAACCCCTTTTCATAATGTGATGTAAGCGAGATAAAAAAAAGGGTTGAAAAGATAAAAAAACTAATTGAAAAATGTACTTATGATGCAAGTAAATAATATTTTGCAAATAAGGCTCAATCCAAACAAAATTAATTTTCTTATTGATGTACTACAGTGTTACATACATAATTGTTCACATTTAGACAATTTTATAAACAAATAGCTTTTGTCCATTTTCAAGGCAACTAGGTCAAATGAATATCGACAGCTAAAATTATTAATGCTACCAATTTATCTTCATTATGAGATAGATAGCTGATCCAGATTGTTGAAGTACAAGACAATATGAATGTAGTTTGATTAAAGTAAACATCTTTCCCATACTTTAGTTGTCAAATTGGCGATATTGGTTGGTTAATTAGATAATCATGTAAAATTCTTTTGTGCTCCTCTATAAACCAAATAGTCAAATACAATTGAAAATTTTAGAGATATGAATAAGTTCCAAAACAAATATCATAAATTCTTTGTAATAAAAATTCAACCTAGAAGGCTTTTAGTTGTATTAAAATTAAAATGATAGAAGACCGTAATTACAAAACTACAAAGTTAGAAAAGTACGGTGCTAGGATTGGCAATACTTCATTTATTATTAATGATACTCCATTTCACATATATCTTTTTAACAAAAACAGATGAAGAAATTGGAGAGCCATTAATAAAAAGTAGAGTGCTAATAACACTAGCTTATTACTAAAGTTATTGTTACACTCTATCTCCTTCGTATTTTTTTACAAAAACACATGAAGGAAAGTGAAGTGCAATTATTGTCAACAAGTAAAGTGTCAATAGTCAAGAGAGGGATGAATGATGGGTTGGGTGGTTTAAGGGGAGAAGTATAAGTGAAAGGTCTTGGGTTTGAATCCTTCTACTTACACTATACAAAAAAAAATGCCAATAATATTAGCTACTCTAATGCCTTTGTATTTTTCTACAAAAGCACATGAAGAAAGTGGAGTGCCATTAGCAAAAAGTATAGTTCCAACGATGTTAGCTAATTAACTAAACTTATTGTTAATGACATTGCATCTCCTTTATAGTTTTATAAAAATATATGAAAAATTGGAGTGCTGTTAAAAAAAAGTGGATGTGGAGATCATTAGTTAATCAACATAAGCTATTGTATATGACACTTAATCTCTTTTGTAATTTTTTTTTTACAAGAACACATGAAGAAATGGAGAACTATGAATAAAAGGTAGAGTGCCAATAACAAGATTACTAAAAGCATATTTACGGTTTTTTGTTTACAAACATGGTGACATAAATTCTCATTATTCAAAATTTATAATTATGCTCTTATGGAAGATAATTATGGAATTGATAATAAAGGTATTTGATATTTAAGCAACGTATTGTCACTTAAGTAGATAATGAGGTTTACAAGATACGTATTAAATTTCTAAAAATGGTAGTCATTTGCTAATTAAATATTTATTCAATTAAAGCGAATCTTCTTTTGTAGCTGAAAACCAGTCAAAAAATACAATAAAATGTATGCAGTCTTTCTTTTTTTTTTTTTATAGGTTACAAAAAAAACTTATTGTAATTAAAAAATCATAATTTCACATAATGATTCTTTGGACAATACCCATTCAAATCCAAATTTGAATTGTATTTTTTTTAATAATTATATTTTATTCATAATGAGGACCAAAAACAAGAACAGGAACACAATCTTCTAACCACATGACAAAACTTGCCCTCTCAGGACCTCTTCACTCTCCTAATAGCAGGAGTTCCCCATTTGTCAAGTCGAATTTCCCCTCTCGCCAACAAAGGATTTGCTGGAAGGTTGTCGTAGGTCCGAAGTGATTCTTGGGTGTGCGTGACTCTCTCATTGGCTAAGGCGTCCGTCACTTTGTTCATCTCTCGAAAGCAGTGTGAGAAACAATTCTCCCCCGCCACCAATTGCCATATCTCTTCCACCTCCATTCGAATATACCAAGGACAATGGAACCGTCGCTGAAGGATGCCCACTAAAGTCGCAGAGTCCAATTGAATAAAGGGTGGAGGCATCCCCCTTGCTTTGCACAAACGGAGGCCTACCAGCAATGCTAAAACCTCTGCCCGTAAACTAGTCTGATCACCCAGGAAGGCTGAGAACCCCACACGAAATCACCGTTGGAATCTCGAAGCACTCCGCCACCACCACTAAGTCCCGGGTTGCCTTTGGAGCACCCATCCGTGTTCAAGGTCAATCGGTCAGTTGAGCTAGGCCTCTAACATACAATGAGAAAATCATACCTCTGGGGGCCAGCCATGGCGATGGTGTCATACATCTCCGGAAACATGCGAACATCCAACCGCTGTTGAAACTGAATCTCAAACGCTGCATTTACATCCTTGAAAATCACTGGGCAAACATCTCGGCCCTGCACCCGAATGCCCTTGAAAACCGCTTTATTTCTCGCCTTCCAAAGATGCCAACATATCCAGTTGGGCAACAAGGCCAACAGGAACTGCCGCTGAGATGACAACGAAGCTAGCTGCCACCAACCCAGTAAGCATGCTCTTAAGCCAGGGGGCTGAGGGTCTATACCACAGGTACCATTGAAGAAAGTCCATACCTCCACTGCTAGTTCTCCAGCGAAGAAAACCTGTTCAATAGTCTCCGCTGCAGGCGCTTCACAACAGAAACATTTGGAAGGCAATTGGAAGCCCATTCTACATAACACCTCATCCATGGATAACCGTCCCCGCAACAGACGAAGCATTAGAAATGAAACCATAAAGGGGAGATTCGGTTGCCAGATTTGAGAGTAGACAAAAGACGTATGTTGAACCTGTTTGACCTCTTGGAATGCCGAGGATAAGGTGAACTTTCCAGTTGAAGTCGACATCCAGACTGCCTCTGTGCCACTGTCCCCACTCGGTATTGCCAGCTTCAGGATGGAGGAAACGATGTTCGGGGTGAAGAACTGCCCCAGTCGCTGGGCATCCCATTGTCCCCGCACTATGAAGTCCTCAAAGGACAAGTTGGGCAGGTCATTAGCTGTTAAATACAATGCCCAGTTCCTATCCAGTTATCATACCAAAAGTCACAAGGCCCCCTGTGAATCAACCATCGCATGGACAATTCCACATATCTATGAACATTGATCATGTGCCTCCAGACTGCAGACGCAGATGCCTTTATTTTTGCTTGACATGGATGAATTCCTTGGCAATACTTCGCGTGCAGAAACTTAGCCCAAAGGGACGACCTCGTAAGGAAGCTCCACCACAGCTTGTATGAAAATGCATTATAAACGTCCCTAAGCCTTCGAAAGCTAACTCCCCTTCATTAACTGGATAACACAACTGAGACCAACGTACCCAATGTCGTTTGGGATCCCCCCCACTCGCCCCATAGGAACTCTGAGCAGGTCTTCTCGATGACCCTGAAAATTGTTTTTGCATTACAGCGGCAGACAAGAGATGCATCGGATCGCTGACAGTACGTGCTTGATGAGGACGATCCTCCCTCCAGGGGAGAGAAACCTCGACTTCCAAGAGAGGATTTTCCCTAGTATGGCCTGACACACTTCCCCATAATGCGCGGCCCTTGCTCTTGCCAAAATACAAAGGAAATCCTAGATACCTAATGGGAAGTATTGTCTTGAAAACCCAGTCAATCTCTCCACCACCCTCCGACGAGCAGGTGACGTGGACGGATGCATGAGGTACCCACACTTCTGGAGATTGACAAGTTGGCCAGAAGCTCTTTAATACCTGTCCAGCATATGCATAATTAGCTTCAAGGCCGCCGAAGACCCATTGACAAAAATTATCGCATCATCTGTGAACGCTAGGTGAGTGACCTGCTCACACCCCCTCGACATTGAAAACCCCCTAAATCCGAGTTGCATAACTAGGCTATTAAGACCCCGAGTCAGGACCTCAGCCGTTAATCACAAACAGCGCAGGAGACGGAGGGTCCCCCTGCCGCAAACCTCTACTGGATTTAAAAAGCCATGAGATCAGCCATTGATAAGCACAGAAAACCAAACATTTGACACCAGCCGCCACACCATATCAATAAACCGTTCTCCAAACCCAAATTTGCGCAAGACATTAACTAGGAAAATCCAGTCCACCCGATCGTAAGCTTTCGACATATCCAATTTTAACACAACATTACCCCCTTTAGCCTTTCTTCCAATACCCGTAATAATCTCTTGGCAAGCAGAAAATTCTCTGTGATATTCCGATTCTTGATAAAGCCTGTTTGTTGAGAAGACACTATTTTGGGCAAAAGGTAGGCTATCCTATCAGCCAGGATGCATGACAACAACTTGTTAAAAAAATTACACAAGCTAAGGCGGAATTGGGAAAAGTCCTGAGGGTGTGACACCTTGGGATGAGCACAATAGACGTAGAAGTCAGAAAACGAGGCAGCTCTGCCCCACATAAAAAACTTAGTACCCCATTATACACATCCTGAGCCAGAATATCCCACGTAAAAGTAAAGAACTTACCAGTAAATCCATCCGGGCCCGTTGCGCTATCCCCGTTCATCCTGAAAACTGCCCGTTTGA